ATATATATAAAAGTTATATTCGATATTAAATATTAAAATTTAGGATGTTAAATAAAATTTAGGTCACAATTCTATAATAAATTTTATAAAACATTGCCTTAGATATTTTTTTTAAAATCCTTTTGTCTCTAATCTATTTAATTTTCTTTTTTTAAAAAAATCTGTTGGGCCCACTTAGCCCATTTAGCCCGCGGGCCGGGACCGTTTAGCCCGGGACCAAACCGTCCCGGTCCCTACAAAAAGGCCGTTTAGCTCGGGACCGTTTGGCCCGTTTAATTTGGGATCGTTTGGACCGGCCCACTTGACCCGTTTAGGCCCGGGGCCGGCCCACTTGCCACCCTTACGTGCACCAATCTCCAGTATATTATGCTGAAACTTTCCGTGTTGCAGCAAAATAGTGGCTATCTTTCAATGACTTTGCAAACGCCGACTATTTTTCAATTATCAATCCGAAAACTGGCTAGCCCGTGTTATTTTTACATCAATAAGGCGAGACGGTTTCTACTCCCTCAAGAGGCGAACAAATCCTCAGGTTTTTTCCTTTGGCTTCATAGTCCTTTACATAATTTCAGTTCCACAATAAAGAGAAATATCAAGGTATCATCTCATTAACAGTAATTTTGTCTTCTTAAACAAACTGGTTTACCTAGATCACTAACCTAAAGATAAAGTTGTTCCTCATTCATCTAACAATCATTCTCTATCAAACGCATAAACCATTTCACCTTGCAATCTCAGAGTTCTCGACGATTGTTGTCACTAATGGTAGTTGTCTCTTTAGAAACATCATCCTTTTTAAGTACTTTCTCCCTCTGCAGCATTCGTTTCCTCTTGCAACGGTTCCTGTATGAGATAAATTATCCATGTTTCAGATAAAAAGTAGTGAAATTATATGGATTTGTTAGAAGTCTAAGAGGGTAAAAGGGAACTAGTAGCGAATAGCGATATACAACTGGGAGAGTACAAACCAGAGGAAGTGAGAAATTCATACTGAAAAAAAGAATTGTATGCCTATTTAGTAACTTTTTATAAGTAGTTAAGTACATGCTTATCAGATACTATTAAAAGATGGAAAAACTGAGTTTCTGCAACAGATACACACAACAAAAGTGGCAGTTCACAAATTATTCATCTGAAAACCGCAACATAAATATGGAACAGACTTTCTATGAAGAAGTGCCTGACCAAAAGCCTTACCTGACAATTGGATGCACCCTCGGCATTCCCCTTTGCTGTTTCCAGTATACCGATGCTAACATCTTCCAAGCTTCTAGTAGCACTGGCTTCAATCGGAGGATTCTGCTAAAGACAAAATACACATCAGCTGCCACTAACATAAGTGCATCTAATTCTGTCAAATTTGTAAGGTATCTGACCAAGTATATAGAAGCTGCAGAAAACTAACCTCTAATGCTGTGGAACGACCACCATTTTCTTGCTGGTTTTCAGTACTGAAAGACTCTTTTCGCTGAGATAATTCGTTGCTGCCAACATTTACAGTATCTGTGGTATTGCTTTGACCACTCAAACCATTTATAGCACCATCATTCTCATCCCCCTGCAATATTTCGAAATGCTTGCAGATTCATTTTATGAGGCAACGCGATAACATGAACAGCCAGTATGCCAGTTTGCTTGGCCGAATCAATACGAACTATAATGGTTTTGAGCTTATACCTTCATCGTCAATCACGTCGGCAACTTGACCACAATGATGTTAACTTATTTATGTAATAGGGTTTGTTATAATTCTGTTTCCTTCCCCCCCCCCCCCCCCCCCCAAAACCAAAACCAAAAGAAAAAAAAACAATAAAAAAAAACCACCAAAGACTCTCTTTATGAAAATGGTCTAAACTCTCAACATTGTCAGCATCTTGACATCCAGGCACATTTTATTCCAATGCATATAAAGACAAATTAGGGGTTCTCTAGTCACACTTATACCCTACAAGACCTCATGTAGCTATAACAACAACAATTATGCCGTAATCCCAATTGGTGATGACTATGTCCAATTAAACCTCAATTGCATATCAGTAAACAACCTGAATTATCAGACAATCACTTATTCACAAACTTCGTGTGGGAAAAATAATTTTCATTTTTCCTATCTCATGAAGACCCTTTTCGCTCCGCTTAGCCTTATCCCCCTCTAGGGGTATTTTAGAGCCTTCACGATTTATCAGAAGATTCATAAAGCTTATAACCTGCAGATAAAACAATGGACGGAAGCTTATTAATGTCCCATACAAGAATTTCACAAATGACTTGACCATAGCGCTATGTGTCCGCCTTTTGTTCGTGTTGGTTTAGCATTTGAATGCTGAACAAGAGCCACACTATCCTTAAACCTCTTCCTCCAGCTTTTCTACCCCACAACACACAAGACAACCAAATTCCGCAATATCACTGTTCTTGTGGTAGCACTCACTCAATGCACCATCCTCCGCAAAAAAAATTCACAAGAAGGTTTAATCTTGACACCCTTCATCCACCTCCCTCACATACTCATCAACATTTTCAGTATCATCATTGTCCTCAGCATTTTTTGAGTACTCAATTATTCAGATACAGCCTTTAAAACTTGTTGATGGGCATGCTTCGCCAGCGAAATGGGCCAAGTCTTCAGCGGTGGGAAAATAGGGTTGTGAATTGGATTTGTGGATAGCTAACAAGGTCCAAGAAGCAAACCTCTCCTCACAACCATATTCACCGGCCACCTAACTCCAAAATCTTTTCTAGAATTGACTCCTTTTTTGTGGTGAGCTATTTATCATTGACAGCCTACAGGTCTAACTTTAGAAAAGGCCTATTCACTGTGGACTGCTAACCAGGTTGTAGAACCAAACCTCTTTCTCACATCACACTCGCAAGTCACCCACCTCCAGAATCTTGACTAGGATTGACTAGTTTTTGTGATGAGCTATCTCTAATCCACAGATCTAACTTATATTGGAATTGTTTTTAAAATATTAGTTAAACAACATGTTTCTAAAATATTAACACTTGATATACTGAGTTACCGGGAGAGATGCTCACAACAAAGTGGTAGTTCACAAATTATTCATCTCAGAAGTGCAACATAAATAAGGAAGACAACCTAGAAATAGATTTCACGGAACAAACTTTCTATGAAGAAATACCAGACCGAAACCCTTACCAGACAAGATGCACCCTCTGCATTGTCTTTTGCTGTTTCAGGAATACCACTACTGACACTGGCTTCATTGAAGGATTTGTGCTAAAGAAAGAATACAAGTTAGCTACAACTGACATAATCTCCTCCAATACTGTCAAATTTAGTATGGTATCTAACCAAGCATATAGAAGCTGCACGAGACTAACCTCTAACGCTGTGGAGCCACCACCATTTTCTTGCTGGTTTTCAGTACTGAAAGACTCTTTTAGCTGAGATAATTCGTCGCTGCCAACATTTACAGTATCTGTGGTATTGCTTTGACCATTCAAACCATTTTTACCACCACCATTCTCATTCCCCTGCAATATTTTAAAATGTTTACACATTCAATTTATGAGGCAATGCAACAATTTGAACAGCCAGTATGCTGCTTCACTTGGCTACGTCAATACTAACTATAATGGTTTTGAGCTTATACCTTCATGGTTTAATCACGTCAGAAACTTGACCACAGTGATATTAACTAATAAATGTAAACTGAGACTATAAAAGAAATTTGTTATGATTCTATTTCCTTGTTCTGGCCTCCCCCCACACCCCACCCTTACCCAAAGAAAAAGAACCACCAAAGAACTATCTTCCTGAAAATGATCTGAACTCTCAACATATTCAGCATCGTAACATTCAGGCTCAAGAACTAATGAATCCTCCACTGTCAATTGGTGATGACTATCATTCAATCAATTAAACTCAATTACTTGGGTAGACAATATGAATTATTTATATGTTCCACTCTTTTTGGGGCACATCTCATTCCAGTACATGCAACAACTACAACTACTATGCCACAATGCTAAACACGTTGGCGTCGGCTATATGAATCCTCACTAATCATGTTACTCCACTTAACCTCATTTCATGTCAATACCTACAGTAAAAGTGAGAACATCTATTTCATTCCAAATACATATAAAGACCAATTAGGGGTTCTATAAACTAAAGATTCTCTATTCACTCTCATCCATATATTACATAACACAAACTATAACAACAACGATTATGCCTTGATTCCAATTGGTAATGAGTTCAAACCAAATGGAATAACAGTAAATTACCTGAGCTTCGACCGGTTTATCAGAAGATTCACTAGTCTTATTATCACCTGCAGATAAAACAATCGACGGAAGCCTATTAATATCCCATCCAAGAACTTGGCAAATGACCTGACCATAAGCCCTATGAGCTCGTCTCGTGTTCATGTTGGCTAAAGTAATAGAATGCTGAACAAGAGCCACACAATCCTTAAACCTCTTCATCCACCCTTTCTTACCAACCCCACAACACACAAGACAACTAAATTCCCCACCATTCTCTTTGTTCTTCTCATAGTACTCTCTCAATACACCATCTTCCCTAAACAATTTCGCGAAAAAGTTGTAATCTTTATCCCCCTCATCAGCCTCATCATCATTTTCACTATCATTATCATCATCCTCATCATTGGTTGAACCCTTTAAGTATTCAGATACAGCTTTCAAAGCATGTTGATGGGCTTGGTTCGAGGCGAAATGTGCCAGTTCTTGGGAAGTAGGCAAATGGGGTTGGGCATTTAACTGGGTTTTGAAAGTGGGCCAACCCGAATCCGTTACTAGAGGGGTTTCAGTTGGGGTTTTGGGACAAGGCCATTCAATACCAGAATCTGTAATTGTTTCTTTGAGCCTTTTGGATTTTTTCTTCTGTTTCTTAAATTGGGTTGAACTGGAGGGTTGTAGACTCACTGGGGTTGGTGTTGGGGTAGGGGTTGGGATAGGGAGGTAGGGGTGGGGGTGGGGTTGAGGAGGACCTTGATGCCAAAGAGAATGGAGGTAGAGAACTTCTTGAATTAGTCTTTGTTCATCGTATCGATCAGTTGGAAAACGTGACATTTTGAACTGCTATTGTGATAAACGGTAGAGAATAATCGCCGGAGAATTCAAGGGTTCCGGCGAAGGAAATGGCCGCCGGGAACTGAAAAGGGAACCGGATGGGTTTTGCGTTATTATGGGGTTATTTATTTTACTTATGCCTGTTTTGTATTTTTCCGCTGTTATGACATGTTTTTACATTTTTTGTGTTTGGAATAAGCTTTGAAATATTTTCTGAAAATTATTTTTCAGAAGAATCTAAACACTCTTTGAAATTTAGAAAATATTTTAAATGGATAAATGATGAAAATATAAATAAAATGGTTGGCAAAAAAGATTTTTTAAAGAATATTCTTCCCAAATTAACAACAATAATTAAATTTCAATCCCAAATTAAAACTTGCAAGTATAATACAGATAAAATTACTTATAATTGCAGGTTAAAACAAAAAGTAGATTATAGTATAACACTTGTATTTTCTTAAGTCTGCTTAGGTTTTCTATTTTTTGCTATTTGCAGTGGCGAATCTAGTAATATCGCAAAGGTTGTTTAAAATTTAATATATGCATATAAAAAATAAATTTTAACTTATATACACTGTATAATATTTTGATGAAAGATATTTGATTGACCACCCTTCAATATATCTGACTATATCACTGACTATTATTTATGTGTAAGGTAGCAAAATAACGGGTTAAGTTAATAAATGAGTCATGATCCCATTCTCTTAAAGTTTGCTTTAAAATGAGTCAAAAATAGAGTCATAATTCAGCTCCACCAATATAATGTAACTTTTCCAACGGTATGTCATTCTTTTGAAACGAAAGTATTTTATATAAATTGAAATGGAGTAACTATATTTTTCTAGCAACTAAACAACTAACAAAGTTGTGAATCTCAAGGCAATCATAGCAACAAAGCAAACCAGAAAATGACTTCATTGTTTAATACTTCATTCTTTACTCTTACATCTACACTATATCCACCTGCTTATGCTCAAAACTACCATCAATGGCTATTTCTTTAATTTTCTTAGCTTATTTCTTGCTACTCCAACAACCCTTTTTTTCCACAGCAAATCTCCACACTTCTTCTCTCTTTAGACCACAACTCATCACTCAGCTAAATTCTTTACCAAATAATTCCACTCCAACAACTTTTTTTGAAGTGACAAAACCTATAAAACTACCCAAAACCAAACGTTGTTCACACTTAATTCTTGAACATGACTTTGGTTTCACTTATGGGAAACCACCAATTCTTGCAAATTACACACCCCCTTTAAATTGCCCATCTCAGAAATTTTCCAAGATTGTACTAGAATGGCAAGCAACTTGTAAAGGAAGGCAATTTGATAGAATTTTTGGTGTTTGGCTTAGTGGTGTTGAGATTCTCAGAAGCTGTACTGCTGAACCAACTGCTACTGGGATTTTTTGGACAGTGAAAAAGGATATTACTAGGTATTATTCTTTACTTATGAAAAATCAAACACTTGCTGTTTATCTTGGAAATATTGTTGATAGCACCTATACTGGAGTTTACCATGTAAAAATTTTTGTTCACTTCTATAATGAGCTGAAATTGGGTAACTTTGATTCTGGGGCTGATTTGATTATACCCATTTCAAGAAATCTGAAGTTAAATGATGGTTTGTGGTTTGAGATTGAAAATTCAACAGATGCAAAGTCAAAGGAATTCAAGATTCCTCAAAATGTGTATAGGGCAGTATTGGAAGTTTATGTTTCATTTCATGAGAATGATGAATCTTGGTATGCAAATCCACCTAATGAGTATATAAAATCAAATAATCTTACTATCCCGGGAAATGGAGCTTTTAGAGAGGTGTTAGTTAGTTTGGATGATATGATAGTTGGTGCAGTTTGGCCTTTTACTGTGATTTATACTGGGGGTGCAAATCCCCTCTTTTGGAGACCGATTAGTGGAATTGGCTCGTTTGATCTTCCTTCTTACGACATTGAAATTACACCGTTGTTAGGAAAAATTTTAGATGGAAATGGTCACGAGATTTCGTTTCGTGTCACAAATGCTCTGAATGTGTGGTATGTTGATGCAAATTTGCATCTTTGGTTGGATGGGAGAAGTACAAAAACAGAAGGGAAGTTGTTGAAGTACAGTTACTCACCCCTTTGGTTTTTGCTGCTGAGTAATTTTACAGGTTTTGATGGATCCTTTATTACGAATGCTAGTCGGTCCATCACATTGACCGGATGGGTAAAATCGTCTTATGGAACAATCACTACTAAGTCGTCTCAACGTTTAAGTTATAGCAGCTATATGGTAATGGGAAATGAAGGAAACTTGCAAATAGTGGATCAGATAATTGATTCTAATGACACTGTCTATGCTACGACACCATCTTCTTCTGTTCACTCGCTTAAGTCCTTCAAAAAGTATGTATTTCAGTGGTATACTGACAATGTGGATCAAGGAAACGAAAGCTATGCCTCGATATCAAACTTGACATTGGGATCTGATGAAAAGAGGGTAAAAGATTTAGAGTATAGATCATCGGCCAGCTCTGTTAAGAATTTGCAAAAAGCGCAGGGTTATATGCTAGTAAAAGGCCAGTTAGTAGTCAAAGGAATTGGGAGTACTCAACAAGTATATAAATATAAGAAAGATTCGTTGTGCTACTCGAGGAACATAAGCAGCTCAAATTACACAATACTTTACGATAAAGTGAGCAATAGCTGCAGCAAAAGTACCAGGTCTCACTTTCCTTTGAGGGGTCTTTCTGCAATCTCATCTTGGTGATAATAATGTCGGTAACTGACTTTGTTCCATGCGATTATCTTTCACTCCTTTGCCGCTGGAGTTCCTCTACGTTGACTGTTATGATCGAAGTTGGCAACTGTCATGGTCTTCTAATTATGATGCAAATGAACTACTGCAATGTTTCTCTTATTCTAGCACTTGTTTAACTTCTTTATTTTGTTAATATTTGCTGTTTTGCTAACTGTTTATGGGTCTCGGAAATTTCACTTTTTTGCCTATTTATCTTTTGTTGTGTCTCTTTCTTTAAACACAGGGAAATTTTGCATCTTTGTCAAAGTTTACAGGGTTAACCATGCTGGTAAATATTTAGATCCCTTCCTTTTTGGTGTTTTCTCTTTTGCTCCTTTTCCGGTGATGGTAGCTACTCCATGAGAAAGACTAGAATTACGAATTCTTCCTTTTGTTCACCCTTCTACTGCCACTCCATTGGTTTTAGGGAGGGACGGGAGGAGGTTGAAGATTTGTGTAAAGCAACTTGTGTTTGTGTTTTCTATCTACAGCTATATGTTCATGAGAAAAATCGCCTTAAGCATCAATGATTTGGCATTTCGAGCATAATTTCATTGGCTGCTTGGTAGGGGCAGGCCGGCGCATGAAGCAACCCACATTCACGCAGGGTTAGGGGAAAGGGCCGCACTCCAAGGGGTGTAATCTAGGCAGCCTACCTTGATGCAAACATCAGTGGCTGATTCCACGGCTCGAACCCGTGACATTGGATGCTTGGTATTTGAGAAACTATACTTCCTTTCTCTTCCTATTGGTTCAAACGAAAATGCGTCTCGCTGAGAAGCATCAAATGCTATATTTTGGGACTTTATCTTCTCTATCCCATAAAGGTAGGGATAAGGTCTGTGTATACTCCACCCTTTCCAGACCCCACTTGTGGGGTCACACCGGATATGTTGTTGTGGTTGTATCTTTTCTTTAGCTTGAAGCTATATTCTGTTGAAAAATAGGGAAGGTACAGATAATAAGGTATTGTTTTAGAAACTTGCCAAATCTTGATCTAGTGGGAGCAAGTGTGATTTGTAATTTGATGTTCAGAATGAAAAGATCAGTTTTTCCCATGGATCAACTTTGATTCAAGTGTGGTCTAAATTTCAACTTGAGTTTGAAAAGAGTCTGGATTTTGTTAGTTCTGAAAAGGACTTCCTTTAATAAGTAGTTGATATTCAGAATACTTCAACAGTTATTATTTCATTGCACTTTGATAATATCTCTATATCAAGTTAGTTGAGGTCGGCTATATAAATATACTATACCTATTTAGCTCTATTTATATCTGAATTTAATAATCAGAGAACTAATCATAGTTAGACAGTTCTGTCGTTGGTTATCAACCTACCGCAACCCTCTACTTTTATTGAGTTTAGAACTGCAAGCTTTTATATTCACCTATGGGTTGTTTGGTTGGGAAACAAGTTATCCCATGATTAATTACCCCGGGATTAGTTATCCCACCCTCCCATAAGGATAAAAAATACTACAATTCCGAGATAATTAATCCTCGCGATTTTATTCCAACCAAATATGAGATAAACTATCTCAAATTTAATTCCGCGATTAATTATTCCTTATCCCTCGTACCAAACGAGCCCTTAATTAACGATTAACATACTAAGACAGTGAAAGTGGAACGGTAAGCATAAAAAAGTGGAAGGTTAAGTATATGATTAACAATTAGGTAGAACTTAAAAGACTCAAATGAATTTCCATCCCCTTTTTACCATTTTTCTTCTTGGTCAATGAAACATAAGTATATCTTATCTGTCTTGGTTCGTATAGTTTTATTGCTCTTTTGGAAATTAAACAGTTTTTCTATTTAAAGGAAAAAGTTCAAATTTATACCTATATTATTCGAAATTATTTAATTTTGTCATACATTATACTTTTAGTTCATTCATATCCTTGCCATCGACAAATCGTCTCATATTTGCCTTAATATTAATAGAGTTCCAGAATGAAATGGGTAGACTCCACGTGTCCAAATTATTCTAGAAAAAGAGTTTAAATTTATAATTCAACTTTAAACTATGTTCTAAAGTTACTCTCAAATTCAATTTCTGTTAGGGATCAAGGTTAAAAATGAGACTTTTTTCTAATCGATAGATGTCATATTCGACCAAAATTTTAACGTAAAAAGTTGGACGAAGTTACTCAATCTTGGATAGTGATTATTGTTTCACTTTAATTATTGTTTTTCAAATACTTTTAAATATCAATAAATTTAGTAATTTATAGTATTTGTTATGTATTACTTCTAATATATATACTAACAATTAAATACCTTAACCATTGTTTTTTTATTTATTTAAGTTTTAACCATTGCACTTAAAACCTGTTTCTTT